GGAGCACGAATATGTATACGCATATTGGCAAAAACAAGAGACTATTCACAACTATATACAGGTATGTATATATGTATGTGTGTATATGTGTATATGTATCTATACTAATTCCTTATAATAAGACAGTATATATGTATGGAGAGGGAATATGTGTATACATACGCATGCTAACAAAAGTACAATACAAAAAAAAATGGAAATAGATCTAAAAACACTGGGGCCATTAAACGATAAGAATACAGGTATTATTCTTCACACTTTCTCGGAACACTCTGAATTGTTTTATTACCATTCAAGCAGAATAACTTTTTTTACTGGCAGTTCAAAAAAGACATGTGTGTCACTACCACGCCAAAAAGAGAAGGTTTAACATTGAGAATGTTTAATATCGAAAAACGTAAGGAAAATGAATTCATTTTAATAACATGTGGAAATATCCACTGTTTGCCTGAAGAAGACCGCGAGACCCGAAACGTGTGTTGCAAAATTATAGAAAATAAAGCATAATATATATCTTTTAAAAAAATCCGCATTACAACCAAAAACGTTTGCGGTTTCTCTATTCTACTTTTTAATATATACACTTTTCTCTCGTTGGAACAACTATAACCTCTTCCCCTTTATATATATATATATATATATATATATATATATATATTATATACAAATATAAAATTCGTTACTTAGGTGATAGGTGTTATATTCAGCACGTCAACAATGGAGTTACTTAAACAAGCTATTTTGTAATTTATAGACAAGAGTGCTTAGTATCGTGGTTATAGCGTTTATAGGTATAAACAGCGTGGACATAGAAATCAACAGTACATGTTGACTGTCCCTTTCCTGCTTCGGTGGAATCTTCAGACCGAGAAGAATATCGCACAGAAGCGACAAACTGACAGCCAACATGCACTGTTGATACTTATGTCCACGATGTACACTCGTTCTCTCTCTCTCTCTCTCCTCCCTCCCCCCTCTCTTTCTCTCCCCCTCTCTTTCTCTCTTTTTATGTAAATATATAGGGAGATATACATTGTGGATATACGAATACACAAACACGCACGCACACACACACACACACACACACACACACACACACACACACACACATATATATATATATATATATATATATAGACATGTGAGTGTTTTTATGCGTGCATGTGTGTGCGTGTGTGCGTGTGTGAAAAAACATGAGCGATTTTCGATTAGGAAATTTTGCAAGAGTGTGTTACGTAATCTACTTCTGTTTACCATGTACCTGAACATTTACTTGATGGAAAACTATTACACACACACACACACACACGCGCACGCACGCACGCACAAATACACACAGTATATATTTATATATATATATATATATATATATAGAGAGAGAGAGAGAGGGAGAGAGAGAGATTAATAGAGGGATTATGATGCTAATCTTGTAAATGTCGGATAAATATATTTTATACTCGAGGATTTACTGAAAACTTTCCTTCCCGACCCACTTTCCGAAATAAATATATTTAAATAACATCTTGAGAATATATATATATATATATATATATATATATGTGTGTGTGTGTGTGTGTGTGTGTGTGTGTGTGTGTGTGTGTGTGTGTGTGCACGAAGCGCGTGCAGTATGTTTATTGACTTGGACTTCATCCAAATGATACCTGATCAGAACTTTTTGGGAGTAAGTTATTGCTCAGACTGAAATTTTTCAATACATATATATATATATATATACTGAGCGGTCTAAAAGGATGGCTTAAAGCATTACATTACATTACGACATCTTTCTTTGAATTCATTCTTGAAGAATGTAACTTATATCTATCTAAGACAAAGAATACATTCTTAAGGTGGTGAGTATATACTCGAACCCCGCCGCTCTCCGGTGTGAGTCTTGTCCGCACAAAGGTGAAGATAAACAAAAACTAGACAGACAGACGTATATAATTGCAAATACATATTACCGTCCATTGCCCACTTAGACATACAAGAATCTTCACAAACCTACAAACACAGAATTATCCACAGTTTTAATACACGTGGCACGTATCTGACCAATGAGAACTAACCTAAATATAATTGAAAATACCAGTGTTTTCTGATGAAGCTTTAATAAAAGAGAAACCTGTTAGATTAATATACGTTTCCTATTTCTTGTTTTATTTTATCACACACAGACACACACACACACACACACACACATATATATATATAATTTTTGAATAAATATATATATATATATATATATATATATATATATATATATAATTATTTATTCGAAAATTATAACATAAATATGTTTTAAAAATCACTACAAAATAGCCATTTTCTTTCAACACTCCTGGTGTCTTATCAAGTGATGGTGTTGAATATAGAAATAAAGTATGCTTTCCATCTCATTCTTCTGATAAGTTTTCCCCTTAGTAGAGTTAAATGGTCCCTTTTTTGTGGTGGAAATGTTCTTTAAAGATAATCCGAAATTGATTCTATCCATGGTATAAGAATACAAAATGGCTATTTTTGTAGAGATTTTATAACATATTTATGGTATCATTTTCGAAAAAATAATTATATTTGCTTTACTCTGTATTGAGCACTCTTTTTTTTTTTTTGGTTATTGGAATTTATTCCGTATACACCAATCCTATACTTGGATACGTATATATATATATATATATATATATATATATATATATATGTGTGTGTGTGTGTGTGTGTTTTGCGAGCAAGAAGATTGCGTTTAAGCATGAAGCAGACTATTGTCGCTGGGTGTTGACCCCAATGTCGACTTTTATATCTACACACGCAGTATACCTCATATTGTGCAATTGTCATAATGTCCGTGTAAAGCGCGTAGTTGCTGACTAGTAAGGCAGTAAAGAAACACTGCAAACAATGGGTTGTGTAAAGAAGTGTTTACTCGCATGAAAACATAAAACACTGCATAAAGTAGTTCCGTGTAACAAGCTTACAGACGGAAAGCGCTACGCCTTGGCGACCCACTTTTTGCCTCTGTTCCATGAGCAGGCGTTCTACCGATGTGGGTGGACGAGTCCATGTTTTAATAATAGTATAGAGAAGGTCAAAGAGTCTTTATACGCAACACCCATAAATATAGAGTACCTTAAGACTATATTTGTATCTTATATATTGAGAAATAGATAAATATTTGGTGTTTGAATCAGGGTTTCCACTGAACCGTTTCGACTTGAAAAATTAGTGCATCACCACATCTCATCTTCCCTTTCTCTAAATTTAGCTTTTTATCGGACGAACAATGCTAAGTGCATATGTATACGCTTATTTTATGTCTCTTGTGTTTATATCTATTTCCAGGGTTGATTGCCTGGATTTGTACGTTTGTTCGTTTCATTATTGAATGAATGGAACGGAGTGGATTTTCGTGTGTATCACTGAATCTAAGCCGGGGATTTACATTCTAGCATCGACGTCTGTATGTGAAGGTGTCGAAATCATTATGTCAGGGGTGGGTGTTTTTTTGGTGAGTTTTCTAAACCGCGAAGAAAGGGAAGGAATAGGCGAGAGAAAGAAAGAGAAAAAAGTGAGAGAAAGGAAAGAGGGAAAGGGTAGCAAATACGTTGGCAAATATCATTATACTTATCACTACTCAATCTCTCACTTCCTCTTCATCACACAACCTTTTCCCTCCCACTCTCTCTCTCTCTATATATATATATATATATATATATATATATATATATATATATAATTACGTGAGTGTGCATCAGTGTGCGTAGCATCTGAAATGATCTCTCTCGAGAAACAAGAATGGCGGATCAATAAGTCCGCAGCTTGACATAGTTATTAGCTGACTTTTCATGATTTTTTTAATTTTTTCATAACACGTTCGAACTATATGATTAATGCGAAACCGCCGGATTAAGTGCATTAACAAGGGAAAATATTATGACGAAAAAATATATATTATTCGTGTAACAAAATGGCATTTTTTTTATATATGTATTTATTGATGTACCTACGTACGCGTTAACCGTAAGAGCATTCAGTTAAGTGCATTGACAAGGAAAGAGAAATATTTTGAAAATAATTTTTTTATTTTTGTAAAATAATGCTTTTTTACTATATTTTGAATTAAAATATAAATTCTATGGCAAATACCTAAAAATTTCTCAGTTTAGCCAATCTCGGCTGTTGCAAAGATATTTCGTTAGGAACAAAGAAAAGAGTGTGGGATTGCTATGTGATATCAATTTTTCTAAATTGACAGTGAATGCTGGACAATCTCCCGTCGAACAGACAGAAAACTGGAGGCGAAAGAAATGTGGCTCTACAGAAGCATACTGAGAATTCCATGGACGGAGCGAGAAAGCAACGAGGAACTCCTAAAGAAAATGTTAACGAAAACTTATACTTAGAACCAGAAAAAGTGGGCTGGAATTTCTTGGACACATAACGAGGAAAGAAGGGCTTTGAAAACTTAACCCCCACGGGGTTTATTTAGGGCAGGATAGACAAGATGTCGCGGAGAGCAACCTACCTGACAACCTTATGTGAACGAATGACAGAACAGTGAGCGAGAGCCCTGGCAAAGGAAGAAACACTGCTAAGAGCCACAATAGATAGGAAGTTGTGGAGAGCCATGATCGCTTACGTACGGAATTAACGCGGTACACAGAAGAAGTCTTTGAAATTACTGATGTCGCCATATGCACCTGTATATAAAATGGATGTCTATAAATGAGGCTTAAAAATGAGATTCTGCGCACATATTGTGAATGTATATGTTTGAAAATAAGTATATGTATATGATTGTCATGAAAAAGAATAGAGTATATTTGTAACACATAAACACATATATTTGTACACAGATACGCACGTGCGCACACACACACACATATATATAAATATATATATATATATATATATATGTATGTATAGGTAGTTGTGTAATGTTAGATTAAATCTGGTTTTAGAACTGACGGAGTGCGATCAGAAGGAAAGAGGCTACTAAATAAGACTTAAGAGAAGGGGAAAGAATCAAAGGGTATTAGAAGCGGGTGGAAGGAGAGGGAGAAAAAGAAAGATGTGAGAGAAAGAGAGAAAAAAATTAAATCACGGGGGAAAAAGAGAGTGTAGACTGTAACCAAATAAAAAAAGAAGAGAAAAAGCAAGCAACTTAGGCAAGGTTATATGCAATAGAGAGAGGTGCACCTTACGAACAAATTCAGTAAAGGAAAGCAAAGGAAGGTGAGGGAGAAAGAGAGAGAGATAGTCAGGTGAAGAAGAAAAGAGAAGAGGGTAATATAACGTTGGAAAATACGGTGGAGGGAGGAAGCAATATGTCTGCTTGTGAGAAAATCAAAGAAGCAGACAACATGCGTGAATGAAAAAAGGATTCATTTTGCTTCACATCGGGAAAAGAAAAAAGAAAGAAAAAAGAGACAGAAAAAGCGAGAGAGAAAGAGATACTCAGCGTACATTTAAAATATATATATTATTTTCTTTTTTTCAAGTCTCTCGTTTTCTCTCTATGCAAACGACTCTTTTAAAAACAGAGAGAAAAAGGTAGAGATAGATAGATAGATAGATAGATAGATAGATAGATAGATAGATAGATAGAAACAAACAAAGAGAGAGTAAGAAGAGTGAGTTACAAACGGAGTTTTGTTAGTCTCAGCGTACCGGGTGGGGAAATTACTAACACACTCACCCTGGTGTCTAGGTGAAAAAGCTAGCTAAATCTGGTTTCTTCGCTGTCCATATTCATATTGAAGGAATAAAAAAAAAACAACAAAGAAGAAAAGCAAAAGAAAAAAGAAAAAAACAAGACGTCGACATGTGTTGACTAATTGTGGAGAATTAAAAAACGACAGAAAGAGGACCCGAAAATAAAATTGAGAAAATAAACAAATAGATGACGCTCCACGGAAATAATAAATTGCTAAACGAATGAACAAATACGCAACACGGAGTCAGCAAGGCAACGAATGGCAAATGAATCGGAGTATTACCATTGCAACAAATATATAGGCTTTTCATTCTTTTAAAAAAAAAAAATTGACAGCAAAATTTTCTGAAAATATTTCAGGATATAGCAGAAAAAAAGACAAAAAAAACAATTCAAGCACACACTCTCACACACACACACACACACACACACACACACACTCATACACACACACATATATATATATATATATATATATATATATATATATATAAACATATTTTCAATCACGCACTGATAAATACGCAACGTATATATATATATATATATATATTTCTAAACATATTGAAGGTTTTATACAGATATACTGTATGCGCACAGTGTTTATATAATTGAATATTCACCAATATATTTGTTTAACTAAAGATTTATTCAATAGAAATGCATAACGTTTAAATTGGCGTATTTTCATGTAGGATTTAAAAATGTTCTACGGGCACATGCGATATTGAATATAAATGCTGACGTGTAGCTATTCTTAAAGAAAAAATTATTTCTCGTTTTTGTTTGCAATCATACAGACCCCGTGTAAATCCGCGCAATTATGCGTTTTGAAAAGCGCACAGACGTCTCAATGTATATACCTGCCTTCTATACCCACGTGTTCGAACCGCTGTTGGTGAAATTGATCGTAAATAATAGTCAACAGTTCCCCTAGTAAGAACATGAAGTAGCTCTTACCAACTTCACATAGATGAAAGAAAAAAAGAGAATGTTTTAAATATATATATATATATTTACATGTATATTTCATTATAAATATAATATTTGAAATCTGATAAAATAACAAACTACAACACTGAAATCAGAAGTACATCTAAGAAACTAAATTTTATTATTATTATTATTATTATTATTATTATTATTATTATTTCCTTTGGTTTCTAGCGTATACTCATTTCTTTCTGGGTCCCGACCAGAGACCTAAGGTCAGAAATGGCATCATGACATTTTCCACTGAGCAGTTTTGAAAAAAAAATATTAAAATTTGTTTTCACTTTTTTTTTTTTTAATTTTTGATATTCGCCTACTTCTTTCACAATTGGATTATGGAATAATACCACAGGGAAAGAAAAAAAAAGAAAAAAGAAAAAGTTTATTTTGATTTTATATATATATATATATATATATATATATATATATATATATATATCTGTGTGTGTGTATGTTTATATACTGTTGTACATGCAGGCATATGTGCATAAATATATATGCGCGCGTCGGTATAAACACGGAGTTATAACGTGTCGATTATGTAAGTCTTGGAGTTCTGTGATCACACAGCGAAAGCAAATTCCACGGATTGAAATGCGACGTTATTTTTGGATTTAGCAGCAGAGGAAAATTTAAAATCTACGACGAAACCCTTTCTCGCAGTGTTGGATATATTACCTACCACTCAGCGTTGATTTCTTCTTCTTCTTTTTTTTTTTTTCCCTAACGCCTGCTTCTTACAATTTAAAATGACGCTGACAAGGAGTACATTTTTTTTAACAAAAGATACAACCTAAAAATACAAACGCTTAACATCTTAATTCTGATTCCCTGTGTGTCAGTTCTTGAGCCTCTAAATAAATACCTTATATATTTATATATTTATATATATATATATATATATATATATATATATATATATATATATATATAATGTACATATACAACTATGCCGAAATTTTTTGGTGATTAGTTACGAGTAATGTCTTTGTTTACTTTGGGGAAAAGTTTCTACGTCAGAATTTAGCAGCTTAAGTCGTTTCGTCTTCCTATGGCGTAGTGTCTGCTTATTAATTGCTGTCATACAAGGTTCTATTTTCTACAAGTGGATGCTTGGGTGTATGTACGGTCATCAGTGTTATTTGTTTGGTGTTATCTATATATTTATATAGCTCTCTTGTATATAGTGAGGTGAATAAAAACTAACCCTGACTGTCAAGTTGGAAGTTAGGTATCCACAAGAAAAATACTCACGTGTATGTAGATAGTATATTGTGGTAATGTTTTAGTTTTATTTTCATTTATTATACAATATTTGCGGAGTAAGAACGATAGATGTCGTAAACAGTTTTAATAACAAATATTAACTTATAAAATTTATAAACAAATTTATAACAGCAGCGATAACAATATTTAATTCGTTCCTTTTTTTTTTTTTTTCATTTCCATTTTCCCCCAGGAATATTACGTACATAATTAGTTTTTGGCTTTAATATAATTTTATTAGATTTTTAAAAAAAATTTTAGAATCCCAGTTTTCAGGGGGGGTTTTTTATTATTTTTTTTTTTTTTTTTAAGTCTTCCAGACATTTGTCACTTTTTCTTCTCATCTCAAAAAAAAAAAAAAGCGAGATTGCTCAAAAAATATAAATATATACACGCGCTGGTACGCGTGTAATTGCATACACATTCACCTGTGTTCATTGCGATATATAAAAAATCGCGGGTTTCCCCATTCTTGACGACCTTTAAAAGTTCTCTAAGTCTATTTTTCCTTTCTATTTAAAACTCTTCATTAAACGGGAAACTGAATAATTAACAGATAAAATTGAAACAAGGATAAGGGAATTGATAGTGTTGCGAAAAAAAGGGGACAACGTGAAGTAAGAGATATTAGCTGTAAAAATAGTAGCCGTAATAATCGTTGTTATTGATGTGTCAGTAGTAGTATTAGTAGGAGAGAAAGGAGGAGATAGGGACGAGAAGGAGGTGGAGACTGATTGTCGATTGTAGTTGAAGGGAGAGAGACGAATTGAAAGTTTTGAGCGCAGAGTGAAGCGGAGATATTCCGAAAGACATCGCACAGACAATGACAAGTCGCCGTGTCTTTAGCTAGAAAATCGATGTCACCTAAAGAAAGAAAGAAAGGTGACAATTAAAAAAAAAGAAAAAGAAAAAAGAAAACCACAGATGAAGAAAAAGTAAGGAAAAAGAAAAATGTCTAAAAGAATCAGATGTTAAAAAGTGTAAAGCACGAAAAAAAAAAAAAGAAAAAAGTGAAAGAAAGGTTTGAGGAACGAGAAAAAAAGGAAGTCTTTTTCCTACTTTTTGATGACAACTAGTAAGAAATTTAAATGGTAAATATTACGTAGAAAGAAGAAAAAAATTAACAAAGTCGAAAGAATAATTATTATATATATCAAAAAAGAAACGCCATAAACTTCGATTAAAGAACTCTTTTTTTTATTATTAGAAATTCATGGAATTAAACCCTAGATTAATAAATTAGTAATTAATTAATTATTTGACTGACCATACTTACATTGCTAAAAGGCTCCACTTTCAGACATTGCTACTAAAATCAGTTTGATTCTCACTTGAAACTCTTAACTTATAGCCTTGTGTCAGACGCAGTTAAAATTTAATAAATACTAATATTGGCCTTGTACCATTTTAACTAAAAAAACACTTAGTAAGCAACTAAGTAATTGTTCATCCGAATACACTGTTTCTCATTTTAAATTCAAATGTAAAATTATTTTTTCTACATCACTGTTGTTCAAATTCTGCCACTTTTTTCACTATCCAATAAATATTCACACAGATAGATAGATAGATAGATAGATAGATAGATAGATAGATAGATAGATAGATAGATAGATAGATATAACCCACGCATACTACAAAACGTATATGTACATATCTGTAAGTTGCTAGCATGATGTAGATATCAACTGAGCGAGGGTTTGAACGGTCAGACCCGCGATCAGGAAGAAAATAACCTTAAAAAAAAAAAAAGATAAAAATAAATGAATGTCGGAAAAGGTGCAAAAAACACACAGGG